TATATTACAGTGAGTAGTAATATAGTTTTAATGTAATAAAAATGAATCGCCATAATGTTAAAACAGAGGTAATAAAATGATTCTTCCAGCTATAGCTACAGTGACTTTATTATAAAGGGCAATCCTTTATTTCAGAAAGCTGTCCTTTAGATTTATTTTTCAAAAACTCACTTTTGTCCTTTATTTTGGTCACTTTTTATCATACAAATGGTATCACTTAATGCACAGTCTTTCACATTCATGTGAAAAGTATGGAAACTCAATTGTCTTTTTAAAATAAATTTACATATACTGTTTGATTTTAGATATTTTTATTAGAATATGCATTTTTGTAAAGGGTTTCTTGGTCTTGCTCTTGAATTTTCCTTTATAAAGCAAAGTTATAAACACAAACAATTAATTTTTTAAATCCTTTATCCTCTTTCAGATTTGCCCTTGTTTCAGGTTTTTCCTTTATTTTTCCCAAGAAAATACAATCACCATAAATATAATCAATGCTGCCCATTTTAAAAACCTGGACAAATAAAATCTTATCCTTGTACTGAAAATAGCAGTGTTTGGCATGCCATACCGCTCTTGTGATGGCAAAGTCAGGATGCCACCACAAAGAAAGCCCTGTCTCTATTGCATGCAACTCTGCCCCCATAGATGTATTTATTATGGTCCAAATTTAAGCTCCCAAATTTACAACACTCTGCTCTCAGAGGGAGGGAGGGAGGGAGGGAGGTCAATTAAACAACTCTTTAATGTGTATATTGTAAAGAGTATTGAAAGGTTAAAAATGTCCTGATATTAACATTTCAATATGGCATTTCCCCCCATTTCTGGAACTTTTTCAGATATGAGCAAGGCAAGGAGAAAATTGTCTTCCTGGATAAAATCATCACCCACCCCAAATACAATTGGATGGTAAATCTGGATCGAGACATTGCACTTTTGCGTCTGGCTAAGCCTGTAGCTTTCAGTGATTATATATACCCAGTATGTTTGCCAACCAAGGAGGTTGTTCAGAGGTAAGGAGAGAAGACGAGGCTTTGTAGCTTCTTTAAAACCTTGAATAAGGTTTTTAAATAAGTCAAGATCAGCCCAGTTTTAAGAAAAGAAAAGAAAAATTGGGCCAGCATAATTCAACTATTTTACTACCACATATGGATGATGCACTCTCCCAATGCAAATAGGAGGGTGGGAATTGATACACACACAGACACACAGCCAGTAATTAAACAAATTATGGATTTTATTCTGGACACTATATCTATACTAATGAAATAGTATGATCTAATAATATATACAAGTAAAAGTATTATTTATAAAATCAGCATGTTTTTCTATGTATGTACAGAATAAGATAAGAAATATAAGAAATCAAGTCTTAACCTACTTAATTTTCCTCTCTCTCTCTCTCTCTCTCTCTCTCTCTCTCTCTCTCACTTTCCTCTTGTAATTTATTACGGCTTCTTCTTCTGTATCTCAGTTACGGACATACTGGAGTGTCTGTGAGTTTTCTCCCGGCTGCCTTGCTGCCAGACAAAGCTGTTGACTCACAAAGCTCCACTGTCCAGCACTTGAATCTCTGTACAGGCAACACAATCTATCCTCTTGGGCTTTCCACACTCTCACAAGTCACTCCAGGTTTTTCCGCTTGGCCTTCCTCCTTGTCCCTTGGCTAGAATCTCTGGACTTGGCAGGCTGGGTCTTTCCTCCACTCCACTCCACTCCACTCCACTCCACTCCACTCCAACCAGGTGATGTCCTTTCCAGCAGCATGTTCTGCAGCATCTGAAATATAAACTCTCCCCTTTCTCGGCTTTTCCTTTCTCTTTTTCTATTCTACATCTAAGGCATGGACATGCCACTTTACAGGTGTATTCCAGCATTTTCCTCTTTTCTGCCTACATGCTCTTGGTTGTGGGCCTTCCCTAAAAAAAAAATCCATGACCTTGGAACAGGCCCAACTACTTTCTTCCAGCTGGGCATTTCACCCTGTCACAGGGACCATGTGTTCCTGCCAATTGCCAATCAACTATTGAGACTGCCACCAACTAGTTCCAGAAGGAAGGAAGAACAAGTCTCTTGGCTTGTAGTAATAAGATAAATTGACCAATTATCATGGAAAAAGGATAACCCAGGAGTCTATTTCTTGTCCATAAGAAATCTAAAACAGCATCCATTCTCCAGTTGCCTCCATTGATAAAACCAGTCCTGCATTAACTAGGACAAAAGGCACCATTCATTTTCTGAAGGAAACTAGCTGTGATAAGCAGCAAAATTATTCTCTCACCCCTCACCCCCAGAATGGCAACACAATGTGAGGCCTTGAGGGCTCTGAGCACTATTAAAAGTTCTTGAACATTAATGTATGTCAGGTCTCCAAACCATGCCAATGACAGCATACAGACAGTAGGCTAGCATATGTTCTCCGTCCCATCCATAAGGAGTCTATGGTCAAGGCAAAGTTGCTGAAAGGCAAAGGAAATCCTAGGATCAAGAACACCAGCAAACAAAAAGATGGACCTCTGAGCAAAGAAGCAGCTGATATTTTGTCCACTTGAGGCAGCAATCACTTTTGCAGAGAAACTTGGATTGGCATGGGCAGCGGAAGAAACTGGCATATGGAAGGATAAAGGTAGTGGCTGCCATCAATTTTGGGAATCTTTGTCTAGATGTTTTTTGAACCATTCCACTCTGTAAGTGGTTTGCACAAGGGATTGCAGTGTTCTGCTTCAGTCTCTAGGAAGGAACATTTAATCCTAGCCAGTATTCACAGTAGTGCTCATAAACTGTAAGACCTTGGATGGAGCAATTTGTGATTTTGGCATGAAGATCCAGAGGCTGGAAACATGCAACAAAGGCTGAACTGCACATGGGTACACCATAAAGAGCCAATCATCATAGGTGGGGGTGTTTAAAGTGACAGGAGAGAATGCACAGTTGAAAAGACTTCATTGTCATATGCATTAAAGGAAGAAATAATGACAGGGCTGAGTAAATTAAATTAAATTAAATTAAATTAAATATGTGTTAAATTCAGAGGAAGGTAGCCAATTTACAGTCTGAAGCAGGAATTCAGTGGATGCCAGAGTGACCATCTGGTGCATTCAGTAAGTTCAAATCTCATAAGTCCATGAGATGAATGCTACTATCCCACTTTGGGATGGTAAAAAGGTAAAAGTGAAAAATCTTCAATGGGCAAGATTTGAGGGAGCTACTTCAATGATATCTTTCTTTTCAAGGAGTGGTAATGATGGTGGGCTTACCTCTATGTGATGTTCTAGTAAGTGATGAGAAATTCAATTCCATAACCGCTAATGATAATTTCTAGCCCCTAACAGTCTATAGGGTTGCTTCTTCAGGGTAGCAAAAAGTGAAAAAATCAGTATTAAAATCCACTAGCTTGCAAAGCAGAGAGGCAAAGATGATGCAAGAGGCATCCATAGATTAGCAATGTTACTATTTTGGGAACGGAGATCTAAGCGAGTCATCCATAAGCCTTTATACTCTCTCTGGGACTTAGTCCTCTGTGGGACAAAAAGGTTGAACCCTCTAGAAAGTGTCATGCTCAAGGAAAGAGAATGGTGGTAGGAGAACAATAATAGGCAGTAGCATCAAATGCAAAATCCTCAGTATGGTTTCTCACCTCCTTGGAATACAACTAGGCATGATGACAGAGGATTATTGGTCCTGCCTGCATCTCTAGATGGGTTAGTCTACCTGCAAGCAAAGTGATAGACTTCTTTATGCAGAACATTTGTGTAGGTTCCCTATGTTGCATGGATGAAGTCCAAGACTTTTTCTGCAGGACATGTTGATAGCATGTCATACACATTTGGTAATTAACTGTGCACAACTCTGTGGAATGAAGTACAGTGGTACCTTGGGCCACGAACGCTTCTGTTCACGACCAATTCGGGTCACGAACAGCACCGTTCACAAAATTTTGCTTCCATTCGCGAACGCTGGATCGGGTGACGAACAGGACCCGCGGCCATTTCCCCTGCCGTGACATGTGGTCGTGGCTTCCTGTAGGGAGGGGGACTCTCCCTCCAAGCAATAAC